CCTTCAGTTAGCATTTGTTATTAAATGTTCCTCGAAAGCTAACAAAGGGAAAAAGAGATGAAGCCTTTCCGAAGCTCATCACTGGGGATTCACTCTTATTTTTTGCTCCAATCCTGTAGAAAATTTCGCTGCCAGTATGCATCTAGATGCATTTTTTATCGAAGTACAATCGAGGCAAAGATATCGACGTGAACCTGAAAACATTTACTCTAGTTGGAGTATTCGCTCACGGTCGTACTCAGGTGTCGACGTTCCCTCTGTAGTTATGGAGTTGTGATCATTTCTTTGTAGAAGGTTTAGGTTGGAGGTTCTGACCCACTGGACACATTCACGAGAACTTAAAATTAGCTTGACGAATATCCTCTAGCTTCAAAATTTGACAATCCGTTTCTCTTGAAAAGTGCAATAACGAAAACTCAATGAACATTTCTTTACACTCGAATGTCGACAAACCCTTTGTAGCTATGTGAGTTGTAATTAGTTCAAGTCGGGTAGTTATCAGTTGTAAGGGTCCTATCGGGAAGCTTGTGATTCAAGGTGGACGTGTATAGAGGCGATGGGTGCGAATTCCGAGACCGATTCAGTGCAGGTGTTGCCATCTGGAAGTGAAACTAAACCATCCATACATGACTGTGAGTTAGCTGTACTGGAGAACTTCTGAAGCGGTTCCGGGGCATTCAACAAAAAACTTCTTCCACTACCCAAGATGAGCCCGAAACGTAGAGAAGCGCATGAATCCATTTTCGCCCTTCTATTTTCATCTTTTCTTAATTCTGCAAAGACCGCATATTACAGCCTCGTTCAAGATGTCGTCAGTGGCAGTTACGGGCAAAGGGCAGTGTACAACGAGACGTGAGCTACTTGAACTTTATGACTTGCTATTAACCATGATTACGAGTACCGCCTTTTTAAATCCTTACTCTCTCCACTGAGATGACATGCTCATGAGTAATCTGCTGTTGTGCCTCTATGCATGAAGCGAATACTTACGTATATTTACAACATATATCATTCAGAAAAGATTGGAGCTTTGATGAAATTTGTGCACCCGTCATGGCGAACATTTCCGAGTATAGGAATGCCTTCAACTGCAATGCGACTGCATCGAAACAATGATCTATGTGGTTCAATTACCTGGATTTCTAGTCAAATACGGATCGCTTTACATATTTTATTTGTGATACAGTTTTTTCCGAGCAGAACCATCCCATATAATTAATCAACATCACGCAATGAACATTACTGGTAGCAGCCTGACTGCATTGATCATGGTATTCTTTTTTTTCAGCACACCAAGGAAGTTCAGTGTGTTCAAATGAGGGTATGAGTTGCTATTTCGCAATACAATCCGATACAGCGCACATTCATTCGGCATCTCATATATTACTTGGGTAGGAGACGATCCGCTGGGCTGTCAAAATTCAACGGTATCGTGGACATTCCTACTCTATATGATTCGTTTCATCTGTTTGCTTGTTCGCCAGGCCGGGAACCCGGTTCTACCTGAAGACCAACTCGCAGAGTTGGGCTTAAGTTGGGATGGATAGAGCATGGACCAACATGCAAGAGCAGCGTGATCTTTCCAAAGGGCGAGGCATGCGCAGAAAGTAAGCGTGTCCAGGCAAAAATTCATAATTCGGTTCCAGAGCAGCACAGGAGTTGGGAAAAGTCTGAGGTTGCAGGCTATTTGGGACAGGCAGACCGGAAAAAGGTGGAGCGGTGCTTCCCACAAAATTCTGTACATCAGTTTACTTCAACCCAAGTTATATCTTCTCTTACTCTTCGACTTGTTTTGCTTGCGTACCTGCGCTATCCCTCATCATGTGACTATTATCTGAATGGCCGAAGCGCATTGCCTCATATTCCGTGCTCAGAGCTGTTCAAAAAGGGTGAGGTATACGCCGGAGTCTTGGTTAAGACGATGCGCGGCTCATGACTAGACAACCATGGCAATCCTTGGTGCTCAACTCCCTGAAAAGCATTTTACTGCGATCACTTGCAAGCCTGTACATATTGTCATGCGTCAGTGACACCCCATCAAAATGGGATCACTCGCAAGAGTTGAGACGAGTTTCAGAGATCTTACACCTTACGAACGCATCGCATTCGCTCGTGAAATTGACACAGATTCTTCTATTTGAAGGTGTCTATTTGATGTCAGTTGTCATACACCGACTGTTGGTCCTACTTTCACGTGGTAGAGCCTGTGGCCAAGAGTTAGGGTTCCATTCAGTTCCATTTGACAGTTTTGTGTATATATTAGGTCATCCCATTCAAAGTGGCCGACACATATAGAGGAATGGCAGAAAAGCAAAGGGGATAGAGCAGCGGGCTACTATACCATTTGGAAGCTAGTACCTTAAGCTGTGTATCTGTGAAATTTGGCGAACCTAGCCTCTGAAGAAGTTCTCGAGAAATTGAAGAGAGCCCGCTTGGCCGTACCCCGAGTGGTGAAAATCGGCGCCGGTTTTTCAAATCAGACGTCATAAAAGGAAAGTGCGCTGCTCAAATTTGACCTGCGCCGGACCATAGTTGTGTGTAAGGGTGTTCTCGAAATACACGGTGGAAGATCTGGTTCAGGAGCCCGTACAAGGAAGAAAGGAAAAAATTTGTTGTCGTGGGTGGTCCTATAATATTCATCCTGCCACCAAGAAAAAACGGCCGTGGCATGAAGTCAATGCACTGAATATGCTGACTCACAGCAGCCTGGGCCTCTTCGAGGTCTCCTCACGCGAGGTCTGACATCCCAGCTGCAACTGCTGCCCGAGTTATGTCCGATAAACGAGGATGGTCAAGAGGGTGGCGCATGGGTACCTAATTTTCTTATAGAAGCACGAACGCAGTACCGATTCTATACCTCTAGCAGTAATGTTCTCAGCATGAGATGTCACTCACAACTGTGAAAACGCACCCAGGCCTTAGATGAAATATGGGTGGTCTCGGACCTCGAGCCAAAACTCACAATCGTCAATTTTCTATGAATGCAGATGAGAAGCCGCCCGAGTTCTACCATGAAGAGTTACGTGGGCGCAAGTGGATGATCATCATAGCAAAGGATTCCCACACTGTGGCTTTCAAGCGGCTCTATACAGAGGACAAATCCGTCACTGTCGGTGCATATTGCCTGTTCCTCGGCATTCAGATCGACAAATGGATGGTACCACACAACTACAAGAAGGCCACCGTTGCTCGTCATAGTGCCCCAAGTAACTGTATTGTAGATCAGTGCTGGGACACAAACAATATGAGACCTGAGTCAATCGTCCCATTCGCCCGTCATAAAGCCATGCGATTACAACTGTTCTATTCAGTGAGAGTACTCTCGACGGCAGACGCTACAATGTTTTGTCATTTGCCGAAATTGGCAACACACAGCAATTACCACAACTTGGTTGAAGATCGAACGGCGCGGTACCAGAGTGCAAGGCCCTCGGGGCACTGGTGCAGCGGGTCATTGAGTGAAGAGGATTTACTCATCCTAAAGCTAAAATATCACTTTTCTATCTATTCTCCTCTTCGTTTCATTCAAAAAAAACCATCGGCCACTTTGAATGGGATGACCTAATACTTATTTGCGGACCAAAGTTCTTTTGAGGGCAAAACAGGTAACTTTCACGAGACGAAATTCGCGTTGTACCCGTGCTATGAAAAGTTAGACCGAAACTACAGTTTAATGGAGGTTGGTCCTAGGGTCGGTCGAATGAGTTGACTTTTATGAGATATGGTTTAGGAAGTTGAAACCGCTTCCACGTACATATATCGGGTGCCTCTCAGAGGACTTGAAAAATCACCTCCCCGTTAGCTTCTCCAATATATATGGTCTGGATGCTAAAAATTCCTGCATAAAATGAAGTAATTCGTAATAGCATTCGGCAAACAATGTTGCCCTGGCATGAACACTGCAACAATGGTCACGGTCTCCTGATAGGGACACTAAAACCGGTTCTTCGGTCTGTCGTACTGCTTCTTGGTTGGATACGGTTTTAGGAACCGATTAAAGCGACGTCCTGTATAACCCTTATCAATTGTAGTCGTTGTCAGGCTCATCGCGAGGAACAAATTGGATGCACTTTTACTCTTTCCTCCGCACATGTATACTGTCTGAAAAGAGTTAAGCCCTGACACGTAGGCGACTCTACCCACTTCCTGGGTGCACTCAAAATTTCCCTACTTTTCTCAAAGTCGTTTTTTTTAAACACACTCTTCATAGAATGACCCATGGACACGCATTTACACTGACACACCAGGCGTCACCCCACTAACTAATTCCACGTTTTGCGCTTTTGCAAAATTTTAACATTCTTTCAAGCTAGCTGCTACTCGTCCCCCCCATTATGAGAAACGCCACCATTTCCTGAAAAAAAGGCCTAAATCAACGACTGGATTCTCAACTAGCTGAGAAGGACGAACCCCTTACATAGCACCAGCGTCTCGAAGAGGTAAGTCAAATTCATCACGTCGAGCTCAGAGACCTGCAGTATTCCGGTCAGCCTGAGCCTGGACAGCTACGTTTATCTCAGACATGGCGAATCACGCTTAGGTTTCCTTGTTCTTTTTGTCCACCTAGTACTTGAAGACACCACCCCTACAACATCCCTGCAGCTGTCTGGACTACGTGGTAACGTCTTAGAATCTGCTTTCGGACCCGCAAAAATTCAGTTAAAGGCCCTGGGTTGTCGCGGATCTCAGGTTGGATGATTTGGCATGCTCTGAAGTCACACTGATTACGACATGTAACTTTTAAGAGCTATGTAAAGGCTCAGATATACAGTCACGCAATCATCATTGTGAATCAAGGTTCGCCCATTGCTTCAACATTTTAAAACTGGCAATAAGGGCATTCGACGTGCAGTGAGATTCAAAAGGCCGTTTGGCCGGTGGCCCCGCAACCCTAGCAGGCGTTTGGTTTGCGCCTGCTCAAGAAAGGCACCCTTATAAGGACCCTATCAAGCTACAACACACTGACCCGAACGCCTACCACGCCCGCCGCCCATGGACGACCTTACCTGATGCTCGTATCTCTTCATTTGCGGACTATAATATGAAGCGAAGGGATTTATATAAAGCCGCTGCAGTGCTGCATGGAAATTAATTTTGAGTACTTATGCGTGCAGCCGTGATCTACCGTAGCGCCTTTTTGAGTCATCAAGAACGAAAGCCTTTCGCAGGTTTTTGCCCGTTTCACTTCGTTTTTTCACCATTTTCCCCATTACATCGCGCGCCCCTGCCAGACGTTTCGGGCCGAGACCAACTTATCCGTTGCCTGCTTTGAAAGGAGAACGCAGTCGTACGTGTCGTGCGCAGCTGCTCAAATGGACATTCTGCACTGGTAACGAGATCTGACACACCAGGTTTACTTACATAGTTATAGTTAAGGAGAGAGATGCCTATAGTAGAAACTAAATGTCGATCCGGAAACTAAACGTCGAAAGCTACGGTACACTTCGTTTCATTAACAGCAAATTGCCCACAAAGGTTACATATTTGGTTCGACTTGACCAGTTCACTTTAATGTCTGGACTTCAACCTTTTTCACTGAAAGACTTGTAGACCGCTTATTAGGTAAGCATCGAGCACCTAATACTTTGCTATGCAAGGAGTAACTGAAATTTAGTAACCTCATACTGATTAACATCGTCGTGCAGGGAAATCCTGTTGCCCTCGTGGATGTTTCGTTCGCTGTTACGTGCAAACCAGTAATTAAAGAAATACATTTAAAATACCTAAGCGATGCGGTAAGCGTGACTGTGTACATACTTGGGCACTATGAATTATTCCTACCCCCAAAAAACTGAAAAAAATTTTTTTTTTTCGCTGAAACGTTGCCTACAGATGTAATTCGATGCGCTGATCACGAATATCACATCCGTTTCGAGCGCTGGCGTCATTTGGCGCCATTATGCGCCAATGGCGCACCACTTTTTTCACGCAGATCGATGAAAACTTGGGCGCGTGAGGGGTTTAATAGGAACATCATATCACGAATATCACATTGTATTTTCTGGCGCCATTTGGCGCCATATATGCGCCAATTACCGCCAGAATAGGCGCAAGTGGCCCTCTCAAATGAGCGCCAGCGCCCGCAAATAAAATGTTGGATTTGGTAATCAGCGACACAATTAACCCTACTATGCAAGTTTTCATGCGTTTTTTTGATTGAAAAAAGTGGTAAGCGCCAAATTGTCGCGTAATGGCGCCAAATCACGCCAGCGCCCGAAACGGACGTAATATTCGTGATCAGTGCATCGAATTACATCTATAGACAACGTTTCAGCGAAAAACTTTTTTTTGAGATTTTGGTGTAGAATGTTTCCAATTAGCGCCGATACTTTGGGATTACGTTGGCGGTGGTTAGACCAATTTGGGAATACTGCAAACTACGCTGAGAGTGTTTTCTAGACCGCAAACATGTTCACATGACGGTTTCAATTGCTTTCCAAGCCTGCTATAGAGAACTCCGTCAAGTTGGACACCCATCCCCCGTGACTCAAAGGTACATTCCACGATCTTCATGTACAGTGGTCATTTTTTAGTTATCGTTTAGGCGTGTCCGGAGCAGCCTTGATCCAACAATGATGTCATCCTGACCGCTGCAACTGGTGAAAAATCTGCTCTATCTGCTCCAAGCATGCCACCGCCCTGCTCGCCATCAGTATCGAGGATCACGACTGTAGGAGACGACAAAGGAGAAGGGCGCACTAGTGTGATCCCACCCACTAGTGCGCCCTTCCTCTTTGTCGTCTTAGCAAGGAGGGGGGCAGCAAGGCGAAAAGGAAAGTAAGAAATGCAGACTTGCAGGAGCAGCTCCGCTGTCACTTGTATATCAGAATTCTACCTTTGCAGCTTTCCATTTATCCCGATGGGTTTCCTGCGCTCGAGGACGAGAACTATAACCTTTCATTATCAGACAAAGCCCGTCCCTTTTACTTGCATTGAGTTGCTTTCCTTTCATGAAAAATTGCATGAATGCATATGATTGCACTCCCTCTCCCCAGCCCCCTCGACTAAACACGCAGGTATATCCTCGCAAATCGCGATTATTTTCACGGGCAATGAGACATCTTCGAACGATTTTTAGGCGAAGTGCTTCTTGACAATTCGGGTTTTTAGAGTTCATTAAAACATGAGGCGGAAGTTGCGCCATTATAGAAGAGAACTCTGTTCCGGAACTGCCCGTTGTTTACTTCAGCAACCGTCCACTTGGTATGAACTGCGGTGTCAGAAACAAAGAGAGTTTCATGCATTTTGATTAATCATTGTTTCAGGCGTAACCTTGGCACTATAGTGATGTCCTTCCCATAGCCAGTTTCAAGGGTCTGATTGCTCTACCTTGGACAATTGCTGAAATGAAGAAGAAAAGCCCGGTTACTAGCACTGAGTAAATCATTGTTCCCAATTGCTGATGAGCTAAAACGAACTGTAATGACATGTAGAAAAATTTTTATTCGTTTGACCACTTGATAAATTAGGCCTTGATCTTCTTGTGTGCGGCACGCTCACGGGCTGCTCCGCCTGGAGCCCTACCAGGGCAAGGACAGTAGTGTGCATCCGTTCCTGGTCCACCGTTTCGTCCAGGTGGTCCAGGCGTTCCAGGCACTCCGGGTTCGCCAGGTCGTCCATCAGGTCCACTGGGTCCAGGCGCTCCTGCAAGAGAGCTTGCACCTGGTGGGCCAGGTTGGCCAGCAGGTCCGGCTTCGCCAGGAACCCCTGGCTGTCCAGGTGGACCTGTGGGCCCTTTGCCTCCTAGCGTTCCATCATTTCCGCGATCACCCGGAGGTCCATTTTTGCCAGGTGCTCCAGGTGTACCGGGCTCACCAGCTTGTCCTGAAAATAAACTGTTTGAAGACGTTCCATAGCGCGCATTTCGTTAAGACACTATACCAGGTACTCCCGGTGGACCAGGTAAAGATGTCTCCCATCCAGCTCCATTTGGTCCAGGTGAGCCAGGAGTTCCAGGCAGTCCAGGTGGGCCTGGTGGGCCGGGGTCACCGTTCGGGCACGCTCTGAATTAAATTACGCTTTCACCGAAGAGTCTGTGAGAAATCAAGAGCAAAACATACGATGTACTGATGATGCGACCACG